TGGGCATGCATGGCAACCCCCCCTTGACAGTTCACGAGCATGCTCTCCCACCCTCGTCAGTTGTGTAAAGGCCGACGGGTAATTCTGGTTTTTGACGGAAATGTTACGATCCTGTCCGTCAAAAATGAGTAAAAAAGCGCAACCTCTGATTGTGATATAAGACAAGATACCATCTTAGATTTTGGATATCATTGAATTAAAAACAGCATGACAACAAATGAATATCATTTTCTGAATTTATGCGACAAGTCAAGCTGTTCTTTTGTTTGCCTTACCCCAAAAATGTCATATATATATATTTTGAGAAGGCACGAGTTATCAAACCTACAAAAAAAGTCTGTTTTGATATATATTTGATCAAAACTATTTGATTTCCTCCAACATGCTCAATCTAGGGGAATCTAGGGAATACCTTTTTTTACCCTCAGGTCATAAAGAAGCTTGGTTTTGCTTGAAAAGAACAGGCATGCTTGGTTTCCCATTTAAAGTAAACCAAATTCCTGGCTGTCACCTCGCCTACCTTTTTTCTTTGGTAATCATGTTTTTCCGTAATCTTTCTCTGTTCCCTTTTCCACCTGTTTTTATTGTGTGTGTTTCCAGCCCTTTGCTCTGCTCATTGATATGGGATCTGGTGATTTAAGAGCAGCTATGCCAGCGATGTGATGACTGAACACATGGCGCTGCACCGGGGGGCTGCATGGCAGTGCTTTGGTTTGACTGTTGCCATGGCAGCAGTGTGGAATCGTATCCGGGGGATACAGTTGTAGATGGAATGTGTTGCTCAACATCGACGGTGGATTCATGTTATTGCTTTTTCTCACAATCTTACATTGGCTTTACAATAAATACACTTAGAGATGAGGAGGTATGAATCTCATGTTTGTGTCGCAGTTGGGATTTGTTTAGACGAGCTCAGCATAAAGACTAGAAGCAGGAGGAAACTAGCAGTTCTGTCAAAAGTACAAAACAACAACTAAAGATGAAGCTAACCTATTGCTTATTGACATACCATTGTACTGTTTAACCTGAGATACAATGCAACTGTTCTGCTATAACCACTATTTTTATTATGCCACTTTATTTTCCCTTAGTGTGTTTGATAGGGTTTTAAGTTATTTAAATAGTCTGCAAAGGCTAAAATCCCATCCCAATCATTTCTGTATTTCCAACATTGTAAACATAACCCAGAATACTTCGAATTGATGACAGAGATTCTGTATTGAAATAGTGGCAGCATGTTGAACTTTCCCTTTGTGACACTCAAATGAACACACAGTGAGTTTAAGATTATGTAAAAAAATCACAAAACATTGTAAAACAAAGAAGTAAAGATCATTTAGGCCTACCAACATCATGTACATCACACTGATTTAAAGGTCCCATATCATGCTTTTCTGGGTATTACCCGTCCCCTTGTGTGTTATGTAGCTCTTTCTGCATGTAAACGGTCTGCAGAGTCAAAACCCTCAAAGTACACCATGTAGCGAGTAAAACTCTAACACAGAAAAGACCTGTCTATGCTGCCCCACAACGCCTCGTTGGACATTTCTCTTTTTCCATTGTNTTTGGTACTAGAAGGAAGTTGTAGAAGTAGCAGTACTATTAGTCGGGAGAGAACTTTTAGGGATTCATTTAGTCTTACTCCTAGGAATCTAACCTTTTCTGTGTGGGGACGTTTTCGACCAACCCTAAATCGTTATCTCCTTTGAGGAATGTGCTGAGGCACTTAGTCTCAGTTTTATGACCGATCAACTCTCGGTCATAGAGCCTAAAAGTCAGGCAAGTGATTGAGTATTTCCAGATGTTGGGGGATATCTCCAGTGTTCCCAGTGTTTACGGACGTAAACTGGTGTGTTACCTTACATGTTTATTCAAACGGTAAACGTCCCTGGGTGGACTTGAACCACCAACCTTTCGGTTAACAGCCGAATGCGCTGACCAATTGCTTCACAGAGACATGCTACCATACTAAAAGGGGCTTGACATGGATCGCTGGCTCCACCCTCCTTAATTTGCTCTTTTATTCAAGAGGTTTGTTTGCCTCGAATACAGAGAAGTAGAAGTTGCCTCAAATGAAACCTGTGGAAGCTAAATGTGCTCTAGTTTTTAAAGCTTTAGTTCATGTCTTCAATGTTGCTGGAAGCAAGGACGTACATCAAATGATGATGTGTAACAGTTATACTTTTGTTACTGTTTTTCTGGAACCTTGCCCCTGAACACGTCAACTGGCGTGTTCCCTTACATGTTTATTCAAACAGTAAACGTCCCTGGGTGGACTTGAACCACCAACCTTTCGGTTAACAGCCGAACGCGCTAACCAATTGCGCCACAGAGACATGCTATACTAATTTAAGGGACGTGGGATTTATCCCTGCCACCACCCGCTTTCATTTGCTCTTTGCTCCAAGAAATGTGTTTGCCTGGAATACAGAGAAGTAGAAGTTGCCTCAAATAAAACCTGTGGAAGGCCCCAATATGTGGATTAACTCTCTGTAAACTATTTAAAAGGTCTATTTGAGAGAGAGGGTGGTCAGATTTGATGTGGCAACCCACCCGTGCAGTCAGAACCTCTGGCTGCTCTGTGACTTGTGATGTGAAATTCTCCGGCCGATACTTGTAAATAAACATCAGTGTTTGACATCAAAGCTCCAACTCTCCTCGTGTCTCTCTGAGTCCTGACTCTCCATTGCTGAAGAAGTTTCCCTAACAATAACCAGAAATGTATAATTACATAACCAATACTTTTATTATAATGTCCTGGAATAAAATAGTGTTTTTATTTTTAAAAATAATACATTTCTTAAGATAAAAAGTTGAATATATTTGTTGTTGTTTTTACTTTTAATTGGACAAAACCAGGATTTGAAAATGGTCTTACATTTTATAGACCAAACAATTGATCGATTAGTTGAGAAAAGGAACAGATTAATGACCAATAATTGGTAAAGTGATAATTTAATAACGACTAAAAACACACTGGTCATGCACCTTTAGTACTACTGCAATACAAGGAGTAATGCTAGCAAAAAGAAGATTTTATTAAAGTCTCATAAAGAGTTTATTTCTATAACAAGGTAAATAAAAGTCGTTAAAAATCCTCATAAAAAGTCTGTGTTTATTATTCTCACCTTGACAAACTGAACATCAGGATCAAACACATAAAACTGGTGTAAACAAAGACCCTCAGTGCACTCCGAGTGACTCATGTAATCCTAAAAACATAAAACAGAACCAGAGTGACATAAACCCACATGGGGTCTACATACCACACCAGGCAGTTACTGCCATGACGATTATGTAACCATGTGGGAAGGCTGATTAAACATCAGGTACACAAAAGGTGTTTTCATGAGGTGCGAGCGGGGTGTACAGTACGTCAGGTTTATGGGACGAACACCTGCTCACTGTTGCATAACGGGGGCGTGTGCTGGACCAGGAGACGCTTTTGGGACGACTGGACGGCATGAGTCACTGCTAAAGACAGAGAGAGCTCTGTTTCCCCCTCAGAGACGTGCCTACCTTCTGCAGACTGGCACAGGACGAGTGGGCAGACAGACAGGCGGCAGCTCATTGGTGGAAAGGAACTAATTACCTGTACTAGTTAAGCACCATTTTACTATTTAAAAACACCCAATAAAAAGAGTTACTAAAAAAGAAAGAAAAGTTGGGGCTCTTTGGCATTAACACCTGGAACATGTCACAGGGTTCATTTAACTCACTGTTCGAGGCACAAAGAGGTAACACTTTTGAATATTTCACATTAAATAAATGCCACAATATTTATGCTAATTGTGTAGCGAAAAGTAATTGGTCATCTCACCTCTACCACTCTTTATAATTTCAGGGGTTTCCCAGGATCAGAACCAGTCGACTAAACCACCTAACCTAAAAACTAATTAAAAACGGTCTCTACCTCAGGACAGCTGCATAAAGATATTACTTTTGAATTGATGCATGACCATGCTTCTGGAGCAACAATACCTTTTCTTTCATGCTGTAAGAACATTTTGAGATGGATACTTTTGTACTTTGACTGGAAGAGGAATTTGAATGCAACAGTTTTTATTACATATTTGCATTTCCACTTTCTTATTTGCTGATTTCAAAGTCATATACACATCCTAGATATCCTACAAGATCCATGTGGAATAAAGTCATACATATTCTTCATGGGCATTGCTGGAAAAACTCAATCAAATACGCAGAATCTACTTTAAGTGCTACATTTGGAAAGTAGGGGTGTGTTGGTGGTATCAGTTCTGCATAAAGAAACATTTCGAATGATGAAATCTTGAACGGAAGTTTAAGTGGCATAAAAAAGCCTGGTATGGAAATACTGTAGTCCACAGTATTTCCAAACTGTTCTTAATTTAAGAGTTGGAGTCAATGCATATAGTTTCTTCACACTACTGCATATCACTGACACTTGTTACTTTTCTGCGTACAAAGATTTTTAACACAACTTTGGCAAATGCTGACTCATTTGCACGTTAACCAGCAGGACTGAGACCTTTAATGCTCGGGGAGGTTTTTTACTTGCCATAAAACTCTCTGCAAAGACCATACTTTACCCGGCAAAGTGAAAAGGTCAAAGTGTTGCACGCATTTCATACAGAGACAAAAACAACATGCACCTCAAAAGTCTAGAAAACTTTGAAACAAAGTAGGATTCAAAGCTTTTTGTCCTATTGTTTCTACTTCTACAGTATTTACTGTATACATCCAGGTAATAACACAGTTACAGTTACTCCTACTTATTTGAATGTACACCAGGCATTAAATCAAACTTAAGTTAACAGAAAAGTGCATTGATTATAATATGAAATCGTAGTGATGCACAAAGGGCATTGTTAGAGCATGTTTGAACGATTGCACAACAACTCACATCTGGAAGGTATAAACAAAAACAGATACCATGCTGTTGAGGAATGTTGCGGTTAATGTAGCATGACAGCAACTTTTGTAAATATAAAGTAAGTTAAAATGGAGAGTGGACGCACCTCGGATGAAGTTGGAGAGACAAGCTGCTGTTGGATGGAGTGGATCCGCTGCTGCTGCTCCGTCTTGGGAAACTTCTGCTTCTGCTTAAATACCCTACAGGGGAGAGGGCGAGTCATCCATGAGAGAGAGTGTGTGTGTGTGTGTGTGTGTGTGTGTGTGTGTGTGTGTGTGTGTGTGTGTGTGTGTGTGTGTGTGTGTAACTGGACAGCCTATTTTACGAACAGGGTGTGGAATCTACCATCGCTGCACAACCCACAGCTGGATGGAGCTCACACAGATAAGGTCTATGCTGCCTCCTCCTTGTTTTCTACTTAAAAAGGCGTGGTCTTGTGCTGAGGAACCCACTCTTTTGATGGTTTGTGGTGGCATATTTACTGTAAGAGTGATGCTTTTATTTCTGGTGTTGGTTTGTGCTCTCTTTACTCCAACTGCTCCACCATTAGTTCCTCTGTTTTTAGCCTCAGCTCTAAATAAAGAGGGCATAGGTTTTTGATGTAAATAAACACAGACTGTTGTGGCCTCTTTAATGAAGTCTTAGTTCAGTTGGTAATTCCTGATAGGCTCGTTTCACTTACAAGTTCCTGTTTACTTGACTTATGTTTGACTTGTGATAAAAGACTGACATAGTTCACTGGTCAGATTTAGGATGACTGAAGTGGCCTAAAGCTGGTCTGTGGCAACCAAAATTGGCACGCGTTAAAAAGTTACCCAGTTATTTTTTTTGGAGCTATTTGTTAGCCGAGTATTAACACCATTAAGACCTTTGTTGGCAAATAGTAAATACCCCCCAAACAAAAGCCTTATTTTAAGAAAACTTGTATATATAGACATTCCCCAAACTAACTAACTGCATTCTCTGCGAAATGTCCCATCAAACTCAAAGCGAAAAAATGACTTAATTGTTTTAAAACGATACCTGTTTTATGCATAATAACCTTTTGTATTGCTTATCATGTGGAATGGTGCAAGAGTTGTATTTTTTTGTTGGAACAATGTTGATTCTACCCTCTTGAAGATACTAGATTTGAATCTCAATGAGTCTTTTACCTGGTTAATAAAGGATATTGACTGCATATATAATGTGCACACACCTGTACATTTCCTCCATCATTATGACTCTTATTGCTACTTCTTAGAGCAGTTTTCTTTTCCATAATGGCATCTCTACTTTGAAGCGCAGTAAAGAGGAAGAACTCAGTCTCCACTTTGTATGTGCACAAGAGGTTCTTTTTCATTCATTCATTTAATGATATGCTGCCACCCTGAGGAAGAATTTCCATAAGTACGACCCAAAACATTAACATTAAATATAGCTTAATTTCCATCTAAAAGCAGGAAGAGGTTTCTTTTCTACCACATCTAACTGGCAGAATAATTTTACACTACTGTATAATTTTGTGTTTCCAAAACATATTATTCTGAGTTATTTCATGGGCAAACTGATCAGCCAATGAAAATGTACATTGCAAACAGCAACCTTGAGATTAAGTGTTGTTGCAGTGGAATTATTTTGTGGCTGTTTTTTTGTTATAGTATGTTATTTAGATGCAAGCGTCATTTGGAGGGAAGTGGTTTTGCTGCTGTGAGTCCAATGAAACGTAATTCATGTGACATTTACAGAAAGCAGCAGTGTTGTGAAAAGGCATCCATCATGGTTGTATTCAGCGAACACTTAACAGACCTCAAAACAAACTCCACTCAAGTTAATAGCGCCAAATCAATATGGCTGACTCAGGCCTTTCCATGAACAGGGTTTGTTTTTATTAACTCTAACTGGTGCTGAAGGAAAGTGTGAATCATAGCGAGTGTGATATAATATGTGTTTTTAAAAGGACTGGGACTGGAGAACACATTGTACCATGTGTGATGCCAAGTTTCAGTGACAGCAGGCAGGCATGATGAGAGGCTCTGCACACAATGAGACGACTGTTCGGAAATATCACTTGGTTATTTTTTGCACCAGTGTAGATTTAGGTGTTATTCCCTTATGCTTAGAGAGGATACAAAGATTTGTGTTGCACTTTTCCAGAGTTGCAAATGTCAGATTTGACCACTGTTAAGAACTCAGACACTTAGGATGTAGGACCCCATTGCACGACCCGGGAGACAGAGGTAAAGTATTGGTAAGATACTTTATTTTCTAAAACACAGCAAGATGAACAAAAAAAAAGGTCACTATCGAATCTCAAGTTGAGATGACAAAAATTGAGAACAAAATGAAAGCGCTCACGTAGTGAGGA